GAAGAAGATAGCATCAGTTGGCGTTATAACAGGCCAGCCGTGCAGGCGGTGACACCAGTCAGCGGCGGATGCGGCGGCCGGTCGGTGAAGACGTAGACGCCCAACAACGGCAGCATAATAAGCCAGCCGTGCAGGCGGAAACACCAGTCGGCGGCGGTCGAGGCAGCCGGTCGGTGAAGACGTAGACGCCCAACAACGGCGGCATAAAGGCCAGCCGTGCAGGCGGAGACACCAGTCGGAGGGGGGGAGGCAAGCCGGTCGGTGAAGACGTAGACGCCCAACAACGGCGGCATAAAGGCCAGCCGTGCAGGCGGAGACACCAGTCGGCGGCGGCGAAGGCAAGCCGGTCGGTGAAGACGTAGACGCCCAACAACGGCGGCATAAAGGCCAGCCGTGCAGGCGGAAACACCAGTCGGCGGCGGCGAAGGCAAGCCGGTCGGTGAAGACGTAGACGCCCAACAACGGCGGCATAAAGGCCAGCCGTGCAGGCGGATACACCAGTCGGTGGCGGCGAAGGCAAGCCGGTCGGTGAAAACGTAGACGCCCAACAACGGCGGCATAAAGGCCAGCCGTGCAGGCGGAAACACCAGTCGGCGGCGGCGAAGGCAAGCCGGTCGGTGAAGACGTAGACGCCCAACAACGGCGGCATAAAGGCCAGCCGTGCAGGCGGATACACCAGTCGGCGGCGGCGAAGGCAAGCCGGTCGGTGAAGACGTAGACGCCCAACAACGGCGGCATAAAGGCCAGCCGTGCAGGCGGAAACACCAGTCGGCGGCGGCGAAGGCAGGCCGGCGGTGAAGACGTGGACGCCCATGAACGGTGGTGTGACCAACCAACCATATAGGCGAGGGCACCAGTCGGCGGCGACGGAGGCAGGCCGGCGGTGAAGTCGTAGACGCCCAACAGCGGCGGCATAATAGGCCAGCCGTGTAGGCGGAGGCACCAGTCGGCGGCGACGGAGGCAGGCCGGCGGTGAAGTCGTAGACGCCCAACAGCGGCGGCATAATAGGCCAGCCGTGTAGGCGGAGGCACCACTCGGCGGCGACGGAGGCAGGCCGGCGGTGAAGTCGTAGACGCCCAACAGCGGCGGCATAATAGGCCAGCCGTGTAGGCGGAGGCACCACTCGGCGGCGACGGAGGCAAGCCGGCGGTGAAGTCGTAGACGCCCAACAGCGGCGGCATAATAGGCCAGCCGTGTAGGCGGAGGCACCACTCGGCGGCGACGGAGGCAGGCCGGCGGTGATGTTCTGACTGATCCATTCCTGGAGCGTAAGAGATAAGCTTAAAGCCATGAATCCATTTTATGCATATCTGGATCTGGATCCTGCAGAACAAACATATAGGATGAGTAGTATCTGATATAAATATAATACTCGAGAAAAAATCAAGTATTTTAAAATATTTATAAATATGTATTTCTCCTCTTGTCAATTTTGATTTCCCCGAGCAGATGATTCTGTACGTTTAAACACTCTGCCCGACTAGTCATAGTCCCCAAGCATCGGGAGTCGGCCTAGGCATTTCCCAAACATGCATATGAGTGACATGAGTTCGTCATTAATGGAACAAAGTTTCACGGATCAGAATTTACTACTTAGGTACTTTTGCAATTATTAAGAGCAGAAAATAAATTTATCTTATCTCTATGCTTTTGATTTATTCCGAATAATACTTAGCACCTTGCGTTACTCGGTCCATCCAACGAGCCCCCGGGTGCTAGGAATCGGCCCAAAGGCAACCATCCATTGGCAAACCAAACGGAAAGCATAGGAAGATAGAACTCCATAACTCGATAGGTACTTTTGTACTCAGATTATGTCGCAAGCAATCAAGATAAATATTATAAAAATTGTTTAAAAAATATGATATAACATCAATAGCCCCCGACTCACTAGTCAACGGCGAACCAGTTGATGTAGTGAGGCAAAGGAAAAGACAAAATATCATATAAAGAATAAAATAAATGATGACTTAGCTTTGTCGTGTTCCCTCGATGACAGCAGAAGTAGCCGATGTGGGAATAAAGCAGTCCATCAATGGTGACAAAAACACCAGTCGGCGCCAGTGGAACCAAGCCAGTGGTGTAGATGATGAAGCCCATTAACAGCGGCGAAGTCCGCCAACCGTATAGGCAAAAACACCAGTCGGCGGCGGCGAAGGCAAGCCGGCGGTGAAGTCGTAGACGCCCAACAGCGGCGGCATAATAGGCCAGCCGTGTAGGCGGAGGCACCACCCGGCGGCGACGGAGGCAGGCCGGCGGTGAAGTCGTAGACGCCCAACAGCGGCGGCATAATAGGCCAGCCGTGTAGGCGGAGGCACCAATCGGCGGCGACGGAGGCAGGCCGGCGGTGAAGTCGTAGACGCCCAACAGCGGCGGCATGATAGGCCAGCCGTGTAGGCGGAGGCACCACTCGGCGGCGACGGAGGCAGGCCGGTGGTGAAGACGTGGACGCCCATGAACGGTGGTGTGACCAACCAACCGTATAGGCGAGGACACCAGTCGGCGGCGACGGAGGTAGGCCGGCAGTGAAGTCATAGACGCCCAACAGCGGCGGCATAATAGGCCAGCCGTGTAGGCGGAGGCACCACTCGGCGGCGACGGAGGCAGGCCGGCGGTGAAGTCGTAGACGCCCAACAGCGGCGGCATAATAGGCCAGCCGTGTAGGCGGAGGCACCACTCGGCGGCGACGGAGGCAGGCCGGCGGTGAAGTCGTAGACGCCCAACAGCGGCGGCATAATAGGCCAGCCGTGCAGGCGGAGGCACCAGTCGGCGGCGACGAAGGCCAGCCGGTCGGTAAAGACGTGGACGCCCATGAACGGTGGTGTGACCAACCAACCGTATAGGCGAGGACACCAGTCGGCGGCGACGGAGGCAGGCCGGCGGTGAAGTCGTAGACGCCCAACAGCGGCGGCATAATAGGCCAGCCGTGTAGGCGGAGGCACCACTCGGCGGCGACGGAGGCGGGCCGGCGGTGAAGTCGTAGACGCCCAACAGCAGCGGCATAATAGGCCAGCCGTGTAGGCGGAGGCACCACTCGGCGGCTACGGAGGCAAGCCGGCGGTGAAGTCGTAGACGCCCAACAGCGGCGGCATAATAGGCCAGCCGTGTAGGCGGAGGCACCACTCGGCGGCAACGGAGGCAAGCCGGCGGTGAAGTCGTAGACGCCCAACAGCGGCGGCGACGAAGGCCAGCCGGTCGGTAAAGACGTGGACGCCCATGAACGGTGGTGTGACCAACCAACCGTATAGGCGAGGACACCAGTCGGCGGCGACGGAGGCAGGCCGGCGGTGAAGTCGTAGACACCCAACAGCGGCGGCATAATAGGCCAGCCGTGTAGGCGGAGGCACCACTCGGCGGCGACGGAGGCGGGCCGGCGGTGAAGTCGTAGACGCCCAACAGCAGCGGCATAATAGGCCAGCCATGTAGGCGGAGGCACCACTCGGCGGCAACGGAGGCAAGCCGGCGGTGAAGTTGTAGACGCCCAACAGCGGCAGCATAATAGGCCAGCCGTGTAGGCGGAGGCACCACTCGGCGGCAACGGAGGCAGGCCGGCGGTGAAGTCGTAGACGCCCAACAACGGCGGCATAATAGGCCAGCCGTGTAGGCGGAGGCACCACTCGGCGGCAACGGAGGCAGGCCGGCGGTGAAGTCGTTGACGCCCAACAGCAGCGGCATAATAGGCCAGCCATGCAGACGAAAACACCAGTCGGCAAGAGTAGTGCCGCGGCGTTACATGCAAACAGCAGAAAATACCAAGAGAGATTAATCTGACATTTAGAGATCAATCTAATAAACAACAATAAGTTGAAAAGGAAAAAACCCGGCGAAGTCGGAGATTAAAAGGAAAAAACTCGCCGAGATTGATCTCTTCGACTGACTCCGAGACGGAGCGGAGGAGGCGGAGGTCGCAGTCGCGGGCGGCGTTGGTGTCCATCAGCACGACGCAGGACGGCAGGAAGGCATCGGCGTGGCTGCAGCCGTCTCCTATGCATCCGATTAGATCGGTTTTGGCATGCTTCGTGTTTGTAGATCCATCTTGCAACACCATGGCATCCTCGTTGGGTAGATTGGACCAGTAGGCTTGGTGGTGGACGAGGACGACCATCAAATCCGTCGAACTGTCGTTGCCCCGTCGTTGCCGTCGTGCTGATGCGAACAAGATCAGGCAGAGAATAGCAGCGACGATTCGTCTTGTTGAAGTCGTCGGCGGCGAGGAATCAAGGAGCTCCCAAAGCGAAGACGAAGCCGGCGACTCATAAAGTTGATTCCATCGCACTCGTCGTCAGGAAACTCGGCGTTTACCCCTACCTGGCGCGCCAACTGTCGAAACATGGATTCGGCAATAATAAAAGGGGGTAGCGCACGAGACCTAAAAGTGGATGGATGCGGAGACAAAGGATTTAGACAGGTTCAGGCCCTCTCAATGAGAGGTAATACCCTACTCCTGTTTGGGGATTTGAATCCGCCGGGTGTGTATTGATCTGATGATCAGGTTGTCTCCTGCCCCTAGAGGGGGCTCCCTGCCCTCCTTATATAGGTTGGGGGGCAGGGTTACAAGATAGAAACCTTAACCAATACGGTATCGGTTTCCTAAATCTACTTTACAATCTTATCAAACCAGGACTTTAGGCCGTTCCATAATATACAGGGAAACGTAATACCCAAGTCATGATCTGTTACATATTTCATATATATAAGTTATCCCCTATAACTAGTCGGATAACCATGCCGTGTGGGTATGGGGTACCCATAATCTCCACAAAACTCAACCTATAATTCTAGGGACGTAAAGTGGACTTTTTGCTGCTCAGTTTGGTGGGTGCTGAGTGCTGACTGACTATGTTGAGCTGAGTTGAACTACTTGGAACAATCTCATCAGTAATCACATTTATCTAGGCTATAACAATATGAAATTGGAAGTTCCATCTCAAAAAATGGCATGGGAATTGATTAGCCGTTTGGAAGCTTTCATTAATCGCGGAGGGCGTAGATAAAGAAAAAACACAACATGCTAAATCTAAGCAGAATCTTTATTAGAATCGAAGAGCTCGACAAATTCAGTAGCGCCCATTTGCACTTCAGCACTTATGTTCATCAGCAAGACAGTAACTGTGTTCTATGAAGAGAACGACATGCATGCTCAAGTCTGTTGGTAATGTGAAGTGTTTATTCAGCAACAGCACTCTCCGCGCAAGATTGCAGCTCCGCTACGAGCTGCACACAAGGTGTTCGACGGAATGGCACAACCAACCAAAAGCAAAAGGCACCAACCTCTACGGAAGCTTCGACGAGCGGCCTCAGTCGCGGAGCACGACGGCCGGGTCCTTGGACGTCGCGACGTCGTCTTCTTCCCCGGCGTGGTCAGGCTGGGCGGCGGCACCGGAGGCGGAGCCGTGGTGGGTGGTGTCGTCCATGGCCTCCTGGGCGCGGTCGAGGTAGGGCTTGAAGCCGACGCGGAAGGAGAGGTAGCCGAAGGCGGCGGCGCCCAGCACCACCAGGCCCGACCGCATCGCGTTCTGCCGCGCCCGGCTCCTGCCGCCGAGCGCGCCTCTCATCGCGATTCTTTCCTCCCTCCCTTCTCTCTCGTGTGCGCTTCGTTGGAGTGGCGGATTCGAGACTCACTGGAAGTGATTCCGCTTTGTGAATCGTAGCTGACTAGCTGTTGCTGAAGGGACAGATCACTTCGCTTCGTCGATGTTTTTTTACCTGCGCGGCAGATGATCCAGCATTGAAATTGTAGATGGAAAAGGAATTTAAAAGGCATTGAAATTGAAGGAAAAGGGTTAGATATAAAATGCAGAAAAAAATGGAAAAGGATTAAATAAAATGCAGAATAAAAAAACTGTTGCTGCCCAGGATCGAACTGGAGACCTTCAGTGTGTAAGACTGACGTGATAACCACTACACCACAGCAACTTTTAATGTTATATTCACTTGATTCATTATAAATACAATTTATGAATTTTTGAAAGAACAAAAACTGATAATACCAAGTGGAGCAGAGTGCAAACGTGGTGTTAAAACGAAGAAACATGAAAAATGCTAGGAATATATTTTTAGGATGTGGTTGGAACTTACACCTCTACACAGTGGCTAGGTCTTGGCAGCATTCTGTCAACCGAGCTATGTACTCCCTCTCTCTCAAAAACTTGGTTGTATAAAGGTGAAGAAAAAGAAAAGAGTAATAAAAAATATTATATTTTGAATTAGTAGTTGGAGCTTTTGTTGTCTTAACTACTCAACTCTACAAATTAAAATGCCGTAAGTATACTGATCGTATCAGTAATTTCCAAATTTAAGATAGACAAAACACAAAGGAAAAAGTACGAATTACCCTCCGAACAATCGTGTTAGTACGAATTACCCCCTAAACCACAAAACTGGACATTTAAAACCCTAAACTACTTATACCGGACGAATTACCCCCCTAACTCACTCCGAAGCGGTTTTAGTCCGATGTGACGCACACATGGTAATCCAGTCAGTAATACCAAATACAAAAATTTGTAGGGCCCACATGTCATATGGCTTTCTAGTTCCTCAATCCTCACCCTATCCTCGCTGAAGCATGTGTTGGCGGCGAGGGCAGTCTCCATTAGCGCTCACGCTAAAGGAAGGCAGGGCCGGGTAGGTGTAGGCAGGAACGAGCTAGAGGTGGCGGCGATGGTCGCGCTTGACCCCTCAAGCCACGCTTCCACGAGCCGGCGACGACGGTGGCGGCAACGGCGGCGGCTTCCATCAGCTGCAACCTTCTACCTATTTTAACACATAAGAAATTAATTACATGTACTAACTAACAACTCATTAAACCATACGACTACTTTAATATCTCTACTAACATTTAACAATGACAAATGTTAACAAACCATACTTACTAACTGTCGGTGACATGGGATCGGGGGTATCGTGACTAGAGGCTTGGGCAGCCGCGGTCACCCACGTGGCCTGACCCCCTCGGGGGGGTCGGGCCCGAGGGAGACTTGGCCACCCCCTCCTCTGTCTCCCCGAGGGGTCGGGCCGCTCCTGTTTCGGCCCCGAGGGCTGGGGCGCCCCGACCCCCTGTGGTATTGGCGCCACGTGTGTGGGTTAGGTGGGCACAGCGGCGCTCACCTAACCGCATTTATTGCGGGATGAACAAGCGCGCCACGCCGCATTTAATGCGGCATGGCGCACGCATATCCGGTCCGTGACCGGTCGCAGTGTGTGACCGGTCACAGACCGGTCAGATCGCGGGTTAGATGGCAGCAGGCAGCCTGTCATACGCCTCGCCCCGTCCCGTCGGAATGATGAGAGCCTCTTGGCACTCATCCCTAGCTGGAGCCGGCGTGGTAACTCCTGGGATTAGCACGTCAGTCCCGGCTCGATTCATGCCAGGCTTCATCGCAACCATTGCAAGGAAGGCACTGTATGAAGAAGGGCAGGTGTGTGGCATGCCGAACTGACGCGTAGTGGACAAGAATGACCGGTCTGTCACTGGTCCGACGCCGGTCACGTCATCAGCAGACAACCGTGCTCTCATATTGCATCAGCTTCCGGCGGAGTGGAGGCAGGTATGACCCATCCCATCGGAGGGTCATTCGAACAGCGGCCATTGCAAATCTCCGCCGGAAGATGAAGAAATGACAGGGTGATCCCCTGTGTCTGACAAGTGACGGCGTTGGGCATCATTCAAAGACAGGCGTTGATTCAGCTTCAAGGCGGAGGCGCGTGTCAAGATTTGGTCAAGATAGGGTGGGTCTCCACCCAAAGGAAGAGTAGTTAGAAGTGGTGCATGTGGTATCCCCTTGAAATATAAAAGGAGGACCTTGCCCACGAGAAGAGGGGGAGAAAAAAGGAAAGAGAAGAAAAAGAGGAGGAAAAGGAGGAGGAAAAAGGAGGGGTTCTAGAGCTGGAACTCTCTTGCTTGCCGGCTCTCTGTAACTTTTTCTCACACATGCCCACCAGAACACAGGAGTAGGGTATTACGCTTCCCAGCGGCCCGAACCTGTCTACATCGCCCGTGTCTCGTGCGTTTGCTCTCTCGCGTACATTCCACAGATCGAGGGTGAAGAACCTCACTCAGCGCCCCCGGCCGAACCGGCAAAGGGGGGCCTGCGCGGTCTCCCGGTGAGGAGCCTCACGCTCCGTCATCTGGCGCGCCAGGTAGGGGGCGCGTGTGTTTTTCGGGCCCTCGTCCTCTTTCGTGTGCGCCAAGTTTCTCCCGCTCAGCCCAATGGCCGAACGGGTAGTGGCGCACAACCTCTCTCCGAGCGCTAGCGGTGACGACAGGGAGCGGAACCCGCGCCGTCGAGCTCGTACTCCACCGTCTCCCTCTCGCCGAAGTCTTGGGCGGGAGGAGGCGCTCGAGGGGATCGAAAGATCCGCGACTTCGCCACCCACGGGTGATGGAGAAGGACGGCGAGACGGGGAGCGTCGCCTCCTCGTCTACGGCGATGGCAGCACGCCCCAGGGCGCGCTCCAGGCTGCGGGCGCGCTCCTGCGTCACCCGCCCGTCGTCCCCGATCCAGAGACTCCAGCTCGACGTTGGCTGGATGATGTGGCTAACTTGGTCATGACGGCGCAGCAGCGCCTAGGCGCCGGCGGGCGGTCCTACGCCCCCAAGGCCTCTGGCGCTGCTACCACCGGCTCCGTGTCGTCGAGGCGGAGGGCGCGGCGAAAGGCGGCCGTTACCCGCCGTTCGTCTGCTATTCCCTCGTCGACGCCTCCGACCCAAGAAGATGTGCGTGGGGGGCCGGATGCCCGCCTCAATATTGAGCGTCGACGCAATGGTCGTCGTGCTGCCCACGCAACGGAGGGCGCTTCCTCGTCCGGAGCGCCACTTCAGTTTGGGCATGGGGGCCAGCCTCCCATGTCCCCGGTTGGCGGTGCCGGCTGTCGAGCCTTTGTGGCGAGCCTTCGGAACGTCCGTTGGCCCCCAAGGTTCCGGCCCACCATCACCGAAAAATACGACGGAAGCGTCAACCCCGCCGAGTTTCTCCAGATCTATACGACCGGGATTGAGGCTGCTGGGGGTGACGACAGGGTCATGGCGAATTTCTTCCCCATGGTCCTAAAAGGTCAGGCGTGGGGTTGGCTGATGAACTTGTCACCCGCGTCGGTACACTCTTGGGAGGATTTGTGCCAGCAGTTCACCATGAACTTCCAGGGCACATATCCGCGCCCAGGTGAAGAAGCGGACTTGCACGCGGTACAGCGAGGGGATGATGAGTCTCTTCGCTCGTACATTCAGCGGTTCTGTCAAGTCCGCAACACTATACCGTGCATCCCCGCACACGCAGTGATCTATGCGTTAAGGGGGGGCGTGCGGCACAATCGCATGCTCGAAAAGATCGCCTCCAAGGAGCCCCAGACCACCGCGGAGCTTTTTCAGCTTGCGGACTGTGTGGCTCGCAAGGAGGAGGCCTGGACCTGGAACTCCTCCGGTTCCGGTGTGGCAGCTCCGGCCGCCCCCGGGTCCGCTGCTCGATCAGGGCGGCGGGACAGGAGGAGGAAGAAGAGGTCGGCCCTTTCCGACGACGAGGGGCACGTCCTCGCCGTCGAGGGCGCTTCGCGGGCCACCCGAAAGGGGAGGCTTGCGAGCGACAGAAAGAAGGAGGCCGGCGCTCCCAGCAGGGAGCGCCCGACCGGCAAGTGGTGCTCCGTGCACAACACTTCCCTCCACGACCTCGCGGACTGCCGCGCGGTCAAAAGTTTGGCTGAGCAGACGAGGAAGTGGGAGGAGGAGAGGAGACAGGAGCGCCGTGAGGGCAAGGCCCCGGCGGCCCCCGCCGGCAACCGGCGAGGTGAGGCCAAGCAGAAGGCCCCCGCCGAGGATGTCGACGATGGCGACGATAACCTGGGGTTCCAGGAGCCTCAGGCCACGGTCGCCACCGTTGATGGGGGAGCGTGCGCTCACGTTTCTCGCCGGAGCCTCAAGGCCATGAAGCGAGAGCTTCTGGCCGCGGCCCCTACCCATGAGGCGACGCGGCGGGCGCGATGGTCGGAGGTGGCCCTCACCTTCGACCAGACGGACCACCCGCCGTGCGTTGCCCGGGGAGGACAGATCGCGATGGTGGTTTCCCCCACCATTTGCAATGTGAAGTTGGGGCGTGCCCTCATTGACGGGGGTGCAGCCCTCAACATCCTTTCTCCCGCAGCCTTTGACGCCATCAAGGCCCCGGGGATGGTGCTCCGGCCGTCCCAGCCAATCATCGGTGTGACGCCGGGGCACACTTGGCCGCTAGGTCATATCGACCTCCCGGTCACCTTTGGTGGTTCCGCCAATTTCCGCACGGAGCGGGTGAACTTTGATGTGGCGGACCTCAGTCTGCCCTACAACGCGGTCCTGGGGAGACCCGCGTTGGTGAAGTTCATGGCGGCAGTCCACTACGCCTATCTCCAGATGAAGATGCCGGGCCCTGGTGGCCCCATCACCGTCCATGGCGACCTCCAAGTCGCGCTTGCTTGTATGGAGCAGCGTTCGGACCAGCTCGCCGCGGCGTCCAAGCCCGAGGGTGGCGACGAGAGGCTCAGCGCCCCCGTCCCGGCTGCCCCGAGGCAGCGGATGGTCACGTGCGACGAGGTCCCGGTCAAGGAGGTTGCCCTGGGCGACGGCCCGTCCAAGACCACATGAATCGGTGGTCTTCTGGACGACAAATAGGAAGACGCGCTCGTCTCCTTCCTGCGGGCAAACGCCGACGTCTTTGCCTGGAGACCGGCGGACATGCCCGGGGTCCCCAGGGAGGTGATTGAGCACCGTCTCGCCGTGCGGCCGGGCGCAAGGCCGGTCCGGCAGAAAGTGCGGCGGCAGGCCCCGGAACGTCAAGCCTTCATCCGCGAGGAGGTGGCGCG